ATAGTATTCAGCGGCGGCACCCCCGCCCCCCAAATCTAGCAGCCTGGTTGAAAGGCTTTCTGGGCTCTGAAGAGGAGCCCAGGGCCACAAGGGTCCTCCTGCTTCACACAAAGAGAGCCCCAAAATTCCAGGGACGTGCCATCTTCGATTCTGAACAGGGTCGCACCCCCGCATTCAGTGCTGGTCCCACCAGCAGTGACAGCTGCAGCCTGAAGGGCTTTTATAAAATTACATCTGGGGCACCACTTGACGCTATTCCTGGATCAGGAGGCTCTGCTCACAATTGCTCAACCCTTGGACAGCTCCTGTTTGCACCGCTGCAAGGTTGTTACCTCTTGATGGAGTTATTCTCAGTTCTAAGGAGCCTGTCTTGTTCTCTAGGGGAGAAGGAACCTCCATGTGGGGCAGGTCATATTCCTTGTCCGATGGTTTGTTCATCTCTGGGTTGTCGTAGTTAATATATTGATATAAAGGACGCAAACGCTGGGACTTTTCTAGAAGTAATGACAGTGTGAATGTTGGAGATCAACTGGCCTCTGAAATGTGTGGGTCTGCCCCTGGAACACATTCAGAAGCTCAGCTGGTACAAAATGTGGCAGCCCATGTCCTGATACACTTGGGTGGCCCTGCAGCTTCTGGAGCTGGGCGGGCTGGCGGTTGGCTTCAAGGTGCTGTTGTCACCTTTCACATTCTCTGTGGATGCAGACCAGGTCACCTGAGGGCCCACCTTCTCCCGAATTCACGGTCTGATCTGACTGGGTGGAAGAGGGTCAGCTCCCTCCAGGTCCAGTCTATACAGGAGTGCATCTGGTGGGGCCTGGAAGCAGCCATTTTTGATCACTGCTCACACACTCAGAAGAGCAGGGGAAACACAGCTGTGCAGTCTTTGCCCAGGTTGTGATGGTAGATTTGGAATTTGGAAGACGCACGCTTTTGTGTATTTTCTTTTTTGTACAATTTTGATACTGCATTTGGTTTAATTTATGGGTGGGTTTCTTTATGACTTGGGGTAGTTTTTTGATGGGTGCTGTTTTTGATTGTTAGCCACCCAGAGGCTTTGGGAACATGAGGCATAGAAATCAAGTAAAAGTGAAATAAATAAACAAATAACGGCCTTGCTGAAAGGTGCAAACCCTCCCAGAAGAACAGACCGTGTTCAAGAGCTACCGAAGGAATGCTGAGCATGTTAGGAAATTCTCCAGCAATCCCATTTAATTCCCCCCATTTTTCTTCTGTCTCACAGCAGACTGTATCTGTAGCTTAAAATAGCATCTTTAATTGACAATAATAGATGTCTATTTAGCAGGGGAGGAAATAACGGCCGCAATGCCGCCATCCGCTGTTGCAGGAAAATTATGTAGACGTTCACAAGGCTTTAGCTACACCAGCTAAACAATTCAGAAAAACGCTGCAGCTGATTCTACAAGACACCAGAAGATTCCGTACCTCGCAGGCAGCGAAGGGATGTTGAGATCAGGCCCCAGAAGCTTCAGCCTTGCAAAGGAGGAGAAGACCCAGCCCTGGAGCCCCAACTCACCACTTTCACTAGTAAAGCGATTGGGCGCCTTTGCTCATTCGTGACCGCACAGCTTGAGAAGTGCTCCTGCCTGATCCTTTGCAGGTGCCCAGAAGTAGCTGGCATTTGTGTTCTTCCAGGACTG